AACGTTACGCAAACCCTATCCCGGTTTACCCTACAGAGTAGGGATTTTAAGGCGTACGTTCTAAGGAGTATTACATTTGGTGGATTACTGTGAGATACGTCCGTACACCCCCCCCGATATAAAGAAAAGTAAGAAGGAACGAATATCGGGTCAGGCATTAAGGAAACAAAGAAATAAAAAAAAATAACGATTAAATCGGAACAACAAGTACACAAGAAGACACTAAAGGACTAAAGAAAGTGAAAAACCGAAGTTAAAGCTATAAGGAATAGCACAAGTCGGAACGTAAAGAAAGGTCTAAGTAAGACCAAAGGAAACGTCAAAGACGAAGTATAAGCGAAAAATTGCAGCAATTCGCTTTACAGAAATTTTTTTTTTGGGGACGGCACTTCAAAAAAAAAAAAATTTTTTTAAGCACAGAAAAATTTTTTTTTTTTTGGAAGGACAAAGTTAAAACGAAAGTTAAAACGAAAGTCAAGGCGAAGTAAAAGTCTAGACAAAAGAAAAGTCATAAGAAGACGAAGACGAAGCATAAAGCGAAAAAAAAAAAAAAAAAAAAAAAAATTGAAGAGATTCGATTTACAGAATTTTTTTTTTTTTTTTTTTTCTCGAACAGCACGTTAAAAAAAAAAAAAAAAAATTTTTTAACTGACGTACCAAAACCTGGGACAACAACATTTTTTACAACAAACAAACGTTCAACTATACAAACCAGCAATTACGCAACGCATGTGTAATCCCGAAAGTCTGGAAGTAAGGATCGACAAATAAGCTTTAGAAGTGACGAAAATAAGCTTAGAAATTTACAGAAGTACAATAAAGAAATCGAACAATAGTGACAAAGTCTGTCATAAGGATCAACATTCGAACAATAAAACAATAGATCACATACGTCATAAATAGGAATAATAATCAAAGTGACAGACTTAAGTGAATAGAACACATTATAAATCGGTAAAACTGTCAAAGTGACAGATTTTTGCATAAAACCAAAAACGCAAAAACGAAAAGAAGAAATCCGGACCCAATACAGCCCAGGTTACCGGTGTCCTGGCACCCGAAAAGGAAATAAACGATCAAAAAAAAAAAAAATGGAACAAATGCTAGGAAACTTTTATGAAAGTTTCAAACGGCTAAATGAAGTATTTACCACCTATACGCAAGTAATGTCCCGGCCAACAAACAAAGCTTCAAGACCTTCTAGCTACAATTACGAAAAAGAGTATGCAAGGGGAAGACAAAATACGAAAAAGACTCAACAATATTGTAGATACCCCAATGGACTTAATTCTGAAAACAAAGACAAAACTTTCGCCCGGCATCACGTGACCAACAAAAAAAACGAAGGACCCAAAAAACCGGAGGACAATACAACGCTTACTTCACAACATTATGCTGTAAAACCTCACCGAAGGAAAGATTTATATATTACCAATAATTTTAAAGCTGCTAAAAAAAAAAAATACATAAGTCATAAAGTGGAAAAACGCAAAACAGAAGAGGATGAAGTATACTTATCGTGCTTAGAGATGACGGCTCAAGGTCTTATATTTAATTATGACTTGCCGGACCCCGTTCAAAGAAAAGAAAGATCAAAAAAGGAAGATAAAAGCTTAGAAGGGAAGGTCGATACTTGCTTGGATTGGTTGAAAGCTTTTGAATATGAAATTATTGATGAGAATAAATCAAACGATCAAAGACTACATCACCTAAACAGAATTGAAGTCGAAAAAGTCGAACATAAATCATTCACGCATTATCAAAAGACCTCAGATATAGAGGATAAAACACATACCGTTGATCGTTGTCATCAAAAAGGATTTGGGATTGAAAGCAATGGCCACAAGGCGTTCGCCTATCTTCAAAAATCTGCCAATCTGAATGATTTCGACGGAACATACGATATTAGTTACGAATATGAAAATAGAACGGAAACGAATGACGAATATAAAGCTTACCAAGACTGGTTAAAAGGTTTTGAATACAATGATGAAAGTGATAACGAAGCCGATCATGATGTAAATCTTGAGGGAGCTAAAAAAAATGAATATAAGGTGTTCACCTGTTATAAAAAATCAGCAGAGACGGATTATACTGAATTAGATCACAAGAACGAAATGGGAATTGAAAAGGGAGCTCCGATAAATCGTCGAAAATCTGAAGTAGTGTGTGTTGATGAAACGAATATTTATAGTTTTTACTACGAAGATGGAATTGGAACCGGAATAGAAGAACATAAGGCATTCATCTATCATCAAAAATCGGTCAAAATGAGTAATTCGGAGGAAACATCTCAAGTCGGTCATTGTGCTGAAAATAAAAACAAGAAAGAAAAAGGTGGATGTGAAACTTACCAGGATTGTACCAGTGATACCCCAGCAGAATTCAAACAAGCTTCCGATACGAATCAAGGAAGAACTGAAACCGGAAAAGATAATACGATCGAACATTATCAGAGATCAGTTGAGATGAACAGTATTGATGAAGAGCGTAATTGTCAAGATAAAACTGTCCTTGTGAAAGAAGCACATAAGGAATCCACAAATCATCGAAAAACTGCTGCGAGGGAGTATGTTGATGAAACGTATACCCTTGGATTTCGCTACAAAAAAGAAATTAGAGTTGAAAAGTATGAACGAATCGGTGCAGAAAATGACGAACACAAGGCACTCACGTATGACCAAAAATCTATAGCTAATACAGCCGCCGAAACTGATGAAGATTTCATGATGATCAAGGAAGAAAGAAATATCGGAATCAGGGAAAAAGCAAAATCTTTCATCAATAAAGTGGAAAATATGCTGAACAGAAGCGGGATTAAAGTACCAGCGCTTGTCAAAGTCAACAAACCTGTGGATGTCATGTATAATTCCTGGAAAGTGAAACTCAAAAATTTTAAAGGATGGTTCGATAAAGACAAAAAAAAAGAAGAATGCAAAGCAATGATAAAGAATAAGAAGGAGAATAAGAAACGAGAAAATGGTGTAAAAGAGAAAAATTTTATATTTGATCGTGGACAAGAAATGCATAAATTACCCAAAGTATATATAAAAGACACTTTTGAAGTCGCCAAAAGAACCTTTACGTACGAAATGGAATCGGGATACAAAGAAAGAGAATTGTGGTTAGAACGGATAAGTGAAAATTACAGAAGGCGCAGCAAAAATATTAAAAAATCACGATACTTATTGTTGTACGAATCGAATGTGCTAGTATTTGATCCCGGAGGATGTTAAAGAATAAAAGGTGTCTAGACGAAAAGAAGGAGGTGTATGTTAAGGAGGGGAGAGAATAAGAAAAAGATAACGAAAAGGGAAATTAAAAACAAATTTTTTCTTTTATATTCAAAAAAAAAAAAAAAAAAAAACCTTAAAATTCAACAATGAAGATGACGCATACGATCGATGAAGTAATCAACGACTTATTAGCAGCAACTCCACGTGAGGTTCTGATCACGCCCCCACCCTATAACGAAAGGCAAACTTTGAACGAAAAGGTTGACATAACCTACCGACATATGCTAAGGAACCAAAAGTTCAAAAATAGAATTGGAAGCTTAATCTACGGCTTCTATCTGGGGAAGTTATTAGATGAAGCAAGTCCGAAAGAACAGACCGAATATCGAAAGAAGATTACAAAGCACTATTATACGGCCGCGATCAGAATTTACTGGTTACTCGAAACGTACGGAATTGAACAAGTATACCGAACACAGAAGTTAATTCTATCCGATTTCGCAACTATGAAGGCAGCAGACTTCCGAAGCTTATTTTAGTTCGTGGAACGAACAAACTAAGTGGAGGAAAATGTAACGATTAAGAATGGATCGACGATGCATTAGGCGCAAATAGTGGATCGATTGCATAATTATTTACATTGCATAA